GCAGTGTAAGACGCTCAAAGCTCAAGACGTTCAGATAGACGTTCGATCGGTCGGTCGTTCGAACGTTTGATTTTAGCATGGAATACACTTCATATATTTCTCTGTTCACGCTCCACTTCATCTGCCAGTGAATTCAACGATCTTATCAGATCTCCAGCGCCATGTTTCAAACGATCCAAGCGTACCACGCTTCCGCCAATCCCCGCCTTGAAGCAATGATTGACGGAGGGTGGGCGTGGTCAGCTCGGAATGCATTTTCAAAGCCGCACTGAATTTTGCTACAAATATCCCACGGCGTCATGATGAAAATGCAATCCTAAGTGTTCTAACTGTTAGTCTAAATGCATTTAGGACAAATAGCATTTAAATGATCATTTTGCTACCATTTCTGCTTGAACATGTTACACATTAAAAAAAATAATAAAATAAAACCTTCTCTGGTTGATGATCAACATTATCTGGAGGTTAAACATCTCTTTTCAGGTCTTATTTTGTACTCCATTCATAAACGTCTGAAATCTTTAATGAGAAAAACAACAGCACATTAACAAGCAATAATCCTCAACTGAAATGTAACTGAGCAGTTTCCTCAAGCATTTTTGGATGCATTGCATCATGTCAGGTAATCATGGCATAGCAGTTGCACAGCCTGAAAACAATCATTAGTTTAATTTATAATAGCTCTGTTGGTGTCATGTTCTTTAAGGCAGATATTTCTCTGTAACAGCACACATTCATTCCTCAAACAATGAGTGTTGAGAATGGAGCACTGATGGCAGGAGGCATTTGTCAGGATATCTGACTCTTGCTGTGATGTTGGCAGATGTTGGCTGGTGTGGTGCCCTGAGCTGCAGATAGTTTCTTAATTGAAGTCCTTGCTGAGGGGATCATGAAGGGACAGATGCTGGGGCTCAAAGGGAGAGAAAAGCAGAGAGCAGCCATTAAGAACTGACCGAGTCTGCGGCGCATAGGGGATTTGGGTCTGTTGAAACTCAATTTAAAACAATAATTTGTTTTTGAAGCCTCTGGAATGTTGTCAAGATCTTGCTTTTATTATATAAGAATTGGCTATTGGTTTCATCACGTTATAACGTTTGTGCTGACTTTAAATGATTCAAAGGATGTGCAGTAAAGTGGTTTGATTTAATATTTGATACCCACTTTAAGGTGTTTTTCCAAAATTAAAATAGGCTCCAATATTTCCTTTTTACGGTAATGTTTTTTTTTAAATATCTTGGATAATGTAGAAAAGCAAATCAAGCTTCTCTGAGAATTTAGCAGACAATTTACAATACATTTATTACCACACACTGTTTTTTAAGACCCAGAACCATGAAAATCTGAGCTTTCAGTTTGGGGCTTTTATTTAAAATATGTTGAATGCATTAAAAATTTTACAATATACAGTATGTATTTATTTCATTTTATTTATTCATTTTTTTTACCAAGTAAAGTATAATTGTATAATGCACCTTGAGAAGAAGCTATCATAATGATTCAATTAACATTCATAAATTGCTATTCATTTTGGGATGCAAAACTGTATATATTGTTCTTTTGTTGGTTATGACCCTCTTTAATGTTACAGCCAGAAGTGCTGGAGCAGATCCATAGTTTAAAAGAGCTGTGGTTGGACAACAATTCATTACAAACCATACCAGGGGTAAGCAATTTCAAAAGTATAATAGAATTCCAGAGTTAGCATCTATTGCATGTACTAAATATGAGCATACCTTGTCAGCCCTGTTATAGATTTCATGCATAAAAAATACCAGTAAGGCTTTAAAGTATGAAACATTTTGTCATTATTTACTCACTCTCATGCCATATAATATGGTGTTGCAAGAACTTGAGTGCGAGTAAATGAGAGATGAGAAAATCTTTGGGGGAACTATTGGAATTTGACAACATGACATTTTAGAATGCTAGTACTAGACTCTAATATATGTATAAAACATAATATATGATTTCTTTCATTTATCTCTCTTGTCATCTGCTGAAGTCTATTGGGAAATTGAGGCATCTGCGATATCTAGACTTGGCTAAGAACAGGATTGAGAGTCTAGATGCAGATATCTCTGGCTGTGAGTCCTTAGAGGATCTACTCCTCTCTTCCAACATGCTGCAACAGTTACCTGATACAATAGGTGAAGTTCCACTGCTTACTCTTTTGAAATATTTGGGTTTTTAGGTTTCGTTGTGTCTTTACAATGCTAAAACATCTTTCACAGGAAAGTTGAAAAAGTTGACAACATTAAAAGTTGATGACAACCAGCTCACCTCACTGCCTAACACCATTGGAAGGTTAGTAACTCACTTACGACTCATCCAGCTGTGTAACGGAAAAATGACAAAGGCAGAAAATACCTTTTGAGATGTCTTAGATCATAATCCCTGAACATTTATCTAATGCACAAGTTTTTTTTCCCAAGTTTATGGAATTATGTTGTGGTTTATAGCCATATAATAAACCTGATGCTCAGGTTGGTCAGTACAGTCTTTAATGACTTGAACCTTTGAAATTATATCGTTTTTTTATGATGATACTTGATGGCATTGTACTGTAGCTTGTACTCTCAGTATTGGATTTTTCACTGAATTGCCATCTGGGGCACGATATAACAATTCTGCTGTCATTCTGGCAGTTTTTCTCACCCCAGCATGAGAAAACACTGACTGTGTTTTTACATCTTTATTACCTGTATTTGAGGGAAACAATGTATGCAGCTGATAGGAAAAAAAACATAAGCTTCTGAATTTAAAGTGTACAATTAATTAAAAATCCTAAAATATCGATACCTTTTACCTATACCTAAATAAATAGTTTAATCTTTTTATTGGTCATTCTACAAAATCAGTGCCATTTGTGTCTCTCATACACTACCATTCAAACGTTTGGGGTCAGTGTGTGTGTTTTCTTAAAGAAATAGTACTATTATTCAGCAAGGAGGCATTAAATTCAATAAAGTTAAAATCAAATTAAACTAAAAAAACTGTCAACCCTGTAACCTTTCTGATGGCATAATTATATTGCAGTTTGAGATGGCTCAGTGTAATTAATTAACACTGAAAATATTACCATATATTGTTCTGATAAAATCTTCCACAAATGAATTTTACAAATTGCAAATCAAACTGGCTAATCAGTCTGACTTTAGATTTTTAATGCAGAATCAAATGGGAAATTCAGGGACGAGGTGCATATACCATATTTCTTAGCATCTGTTAATTAAGATGTCATATTTTCTGCAGACTGCCTTTTTCATTTGTCATAGCCGTCACCACTACCTCATTCCTGTGATAATATACTCCATGCATCTCTCTTCTTGGTTTGTCATTGCTCGGTTCTGTGTGTTGTGTTAATCAAACATGCATCTTAAATGGGCACCTCAGTGCACGTGGCAAAACCGGGTAAGTAGACCAGCGAGTGTTTGTATTCCCCACACGTCTGCCACGCATGTTTATTTAGGCAAGGGCATACCTTTGCATCCATATCTCGCTTAAAGAGACACAATGAAAGCCCTGCATATGGAAGGCCAGCTGGACCGGTCTGCTAAAACAAATGTTGGACTAATGACCTTACTTAGCTTAACAAATATACATTGACCTCTTTCAAATTCATTCAATTAAAATAAGACAAAAAAATGGGGGGGGGGAAGGGTTTTAAATGACTAATGTGAGGTCCGTTACTAAAAGTACTGAAACTCATTTGACTCAATAAACACTGTGGCATATACCAGATCATTGTAAATGTTATAAACTAACGTAAGGTTTGTTTTAAGAGCCCAGTATTTCATATGATTAGTGCTTTTTACAATCACCAGAATTGTATTGCAGTATATTTAGTAAATTCATCATCAATCCCTTTAACATGTCTTCATACCTTTTTGACATGGAGACAATGGTTCCACATAACTCATAATTCTCATTTCCATTAACAAAACTCATTTATTCCCTGTCTTAAAATAATATGAGCCATAGACACTGATACTACTTAAATTAAATGTACTTAAGATTTGATATTTTGTTTGCACATTGTAAACATTTGAGTGAGATGTTAGAATGTAAATTGCATATTAAAGGAATAGTTTACTTTTCATCATTTTCTCACTTTTATTTTCTTCCAAACCCTTATGACTTTATATTCTTCCGTGGAACACAAAAGGATAAATGTTGATGAATGTACTGGTCGCTCTTTTCCAATGAAAATTAACAGGAACTGGCCCTGTCAAGCTCCAAAATGACAAAATAGCAGAATAAACATCATTAACTGGTGTCTGTACTGCATAGTAAAAGTCTTCTGAAGACATAAAATTTAAGAAAAATAGGGTACAATGTACTGTGTTATTATGAAGAAATTTTCTGTATTGATTTATAATAAAAACAATTAATAATAATAATTCATTACATTTATATAGCGCTTTTCTAGGCACTCAAAGCGCTTTACATTGTCAGGGGGTATCTCCTCATCCACCACCAGTGTGCAGCATCCACCTGGATGATGCGACGGCAGCCATAGTGCGCCAGAACGCCCACCAGCTTACTGGTGGAGAGGAGACAGAGTGATGAAGCCAATCAGTAGATATGGGGATTGTTAGGAGGCCATGATGATCACAGGCCAATGGGCAAATTTGGCCTGGATGCCGAGGTCACACCTCTACTCTTTTCGAAAGACATCCTGGGATTTTTAATGACCACAGAGAGTCAGGACCTCGGTTTAACGTCTCATCCGAAGGACGGTGCTTGTTGACAGTATAGTGTCCCCGTCACTATACTGGGGCGTTAGGACCCACACAGACCACAGGGTGAGCACCCCCTGCTGGCCTCAGTAACACCTCTTCCAGCAGCAACCTAGTTTTCCCAGGAGGTCTCCCATCCAGGTACTGACCAGGCTCAGCCCTGCTTAGCTTCAGTGGGTAACCAGTCTTGGGTTACAGGGTGATATGGCTGCCAATTTATCACAGTTGTTTTACCTATATGTTAAATTATGCATTGAATTGTGTAGTGTTTTAGGTAATGTCCTAGCACAAATTTACCAGTATCTTTTCTGTGTTTCTACAGATTTTTTTCCCTCACAACGTATGATTCCTTGTGAAAACCTATTTACCTTCCCCTGGAATTATCATTAAGGCTGAATGCACTATACATATAGCAAGATTTTCTGTAAATAATCAGTTAAGGTCTGTTCCTCACACAAAGATTTTGCATGGCTTTAGAAGACTTCAAAAATATTGCATTGGTTGTTATGAACTACATTTCATGATGCTTTTTTGGAGCTTGACATCCTGTATCCTTAATTCACTTTCATTATATAAAAAAGTGTGTACAAAAAGAAGATCTTATAGGTTTGGAACGACATGAGGGTGAGCAGAAAATAAGAGAACTATTCCTTTAAGACTTTGGTTAAACCTGTTATTTAACCTTAAATCTAAACTTTTTTGAAGAAGAGTTATTCACTACAGTAGAGGCAATTATTTCTTTATCTGCTGACCTTTAAAGAGACGTCACATGATGTAGCCTATGCATTTATCTTATCATCTCATGAAGTGTTTTCAATAGGCTTTCAATAGGGATTAAGCGATCCTGCATAACTGCACAGTCCTCACCTGCTTTCTCTTACATCTGCCAGTTTATCACTTTTAGAGGAGTTTGACTGTAGCTGTAATGAACTGGAGTCCCTGCCTCCCACCATTGGCTACCTGCACAGTCTTCGGACATTTGCGGCCGATGAGAACTTCCTGACTGAGCTGCCCAGGGAGGTGAGTATTAGTGTTATGCACTTTCTACAGTACTAATAATGAGGGAAATCAAAGGCACATTCTCTATATATTTTACCTCTCTTTGTGCTGAAAATACAGCCTACACCAGCGAAGTCAGTTTAGATGGTTGGCAGCTCAAAACCATTAAAACTGTCAAAACAAGTTTAAGAACATTTACTGTATATGTTTAACAATAACTTGGCCAGCTTAGACCAACGCTTCTGAAAGTTAAGTAAAACCAGTTAACAGCTGAACTAAAATCAATTAACTAAGACCACAATTTTTGATTAGTTTATCTCAACAAGGCTTAGAAATTACTTGCCAACAAGGCCACTTTTTTTTTTTTTAGCTCACCTTCAGAACTTAGATAAATCTGGGGTCTTATAGATTTTACATGAATAAGTAATACCTTCATGATATCTTAATAGCTGTTATATTCATAAAAAGTGTTTACTTAATGCATTTATTTAATTAAAAATACAGTAAAACAGTAATTTTGTGAAATATTACAATTTTAAATAAAACAAGCTGACTTTTCAGCAGCCATTACTCCAGTCTTTAGTGTCACATGATTCCTCAAAAATCATTCTAATATACTAATCTCAATAAACATTTCTTATAATTTTCAATGTTGGAAAAAATGTGTGCTATTTAAATAGTTTTTGTGGAAACCATGATGCATCTTTTTTTTCCGGATTCTGTGACAGAAAAACAGCATTTATCTGAAATAAAAATCTTTTGTAATATAAATGTCTTTACTCACTTTTGATCAATGTAATGTATCTATGCTGGGAAACAAAGTATTACTTTGTTAAAAAAAAAAAAAAACACCTTTCAAACAGTAGTATATTTGCTGCCCAACATCCAAAAGTAACAGTGTTTGCTGTACAACACACAAAGCTATATTAAACTTGCAGATTAATCTTAAATTAAATATAATACAGTATATACATTTTTGGCTCCCACATTTTGAGATCCACTGAAGTGGCTAAAATCAGGACAGCTTAAATCTGTTAAACCAAATGCATGGTAATGTCCTGTTGACCTTCACTCGCCACTCGCTGTATTGACAGAATACAAGAGTCATTTTACCTGAGAGAAAGATGCTGATATTTAACAAAAAAAGCTGACAAAATTGCACTTCACCAGAGCTATCATATCCTGTTCTGTGTTGCAGATTGGAAACTGCAGGAATGTTACGGTCATGTCATTGCGCTCCAATAAAATAGAGTTTCTGCCTGATGAAATTGGACAGATGACAAAGCTACGTGTTCTCAATCTAAGTGACAATAGGTAACACCTGATGTTCCTTTTTTTCATTTTGCACCCTGTGCACGCATTTGTCTACATTCACACCAACACATGATCAAAATTGTTTAATGAATAAAAGATGAGATACATTATTTGCTTAAAGAAAGTGCTTCTTCAAATCTCTTATAGATTTGATGAACAGGCTTGATTGGTTCATGTGAAGCGGTGAGGATGGTGTTGATTATTTTCCATAATGGCACAGTAATGGGGCATGATATCAGAAAAGTGCCTGGCCTTCCCACAGGTTAATTAAGAAAGCTCTTTATGAGCTGTGCGGACAGTTTTGATGCTCTGACTGCGATTATCTGGAAGTAGAGTAATTAAACTTAACCAAGACTAAACGGGGCATAGCCATTAGAGTACCTGAGTTAATGAGGTTTCTGAAGTGAACAGAATCACCACAGGTCTTCATAGCATTTTAACTACACGGAGTAACTCTCTCCAACAGTCTCATTTGGTTTTTACCATCCATGTTTTGCCTTTTTGAATTCTCATGAACTAATTCTTTATGTTCTGTTTTAGGTTAAAGAATCTTCCCTTCACTTTCACTAAATTGAAAGATCTTGCTGCACTCTGGTTATCTGACAATCAGGTTGTTATCTGGATCTCCTTTTTAAATTGTAAAAAGTATATAAAAGTATATAACTACAGTGGTGTGAAAAAGTGTTGGCCCCCTTCCTGATTTCTTAGTTTTTTGCATGTTTGTCACACTTTAATGTTTCAGATCATCAAACATTAAAGTGTGACAAACATGCAAAAAAATAAGAAATCAGGAAGGGGGCCAACACCTTTTCACACCACTGTATATAGTATTTGGAGCATGTTTTAACCACATTGCATGAACAGTTAATACAGAGTAAAAAAAATCTGTGAAATTTATAAAAAAAATAAAATTGGCAGCTGTTGTTGCCAGAACTTTACTGTAAAAAATATGGTAACACCATTTTAGGTTTTACAGATTTAACTTAAATTTACAGGAAAAATGTATATTTTATTAACTGGTATATATATATATATATATATATATATATATATAATATGATAATAAGATGACTTTTTCCACTGTTTAATTTCCAAAAACATAATTTTGTATTCAAATAAGTATTTTACTGTTAAATTATAGTACATTAAATGTCCTGTTAGATTTATTATAGTTTTCATCGTAAATAGTAAGGCAATTTAACATTAACCAGTTAACTGTTTATTACAAAGCAGTTTTACCATCTTTTACCATTAAAATTCCAATAGTTTCTACAATGTACAGTTGTCCCAGTTAGGGTTTGGACAAATAAAGTACTTAATGTACTTAATGTGAAATATCAAACCAAATGGCATTTTAAATCTAGATTTAACTATTTCTTTACAATTACTGTACTTTTAACCAAATGTCACTTGGAGTTATTTTTATGATGCAATTCCGTGATGTTCACACATTTGTAATGTTTTTTTTTATGTATCCAAATACTTTAATTTGGATACATAGGGCCACTGTATTTAATTATTTGTGAAATGTGGTTAAAAGTGGTCAAAATACATACTGCAATTTAATACATTTGATTTGGTAGTTGTATTTACAACAATTCTTTTTGTTATTCAGTCCAAGGCCCTTATCCCCCTTCAAACAGAGGCTCACCCTGAGACCAAACAGAGAGTTCTTACCAACTACATGTTTCCTCAGCAGCCCCGGCACGATGAGGGTAAGAATAAATCAACCGTTTCTCTTTCCTTTGATTTTACATTTCACTGGATTTAAACTTCTGGATGGATGTGTGTTTCCCTGCTGCAGATTACCAGTCTGACAGTGACAGCTTTAATCCCACTCTCTGGGAGGAACAGAGACAGCAGAGGATGACAGTGGCATTTGAGTTTGAGGACAAGAAGGAAGAAGAGGACAACTCAGGAAAAGTGAAGGTCCCTTTAAGAATTGAAAATGCGAACCTTTTTGGCCCTGTATTTACCTGGTATTAACATCCATCTCTGGTGATCTGATCACAGATGTTAATATCAGATGTAACCAGGGCCACTGCTGTGTTTGGTTAGCTGGGATTTATGAAAAAAAAAAAAAAACTTTAAGCATCAGAAAAGGTCATATCTTTGCCATATGGGCTAAATCCTCTTCCCTCTATCTGCAGGTTGAGATTAATCTGAAGCGCTATCCCACCCCTTACCCAGAAGACCTAAAGAATATGGTGAAGTCAGTGCAGAACCTGGTGGGTAAAACCACTCACCCCCTCAACACTGAAAAATGTTCTTCTGGGACCAATATGGAGCTCCACAGCCAAGACAAGTATGAGCCCAAGTGGCCCATTGCTCCTGAGGTAATGCTTCTTTATCTTATTTTGTCACAGTGCCTACTTGGGCTCATAGATCAATGTCTCTGCAGTTTGGCTACAAAGTGCTTTTTTTATTTTTTTTTATAAAAAGGATAGATCAGACTCTGAATTTTGATTGGGCGAGCCATATTTGAAGCTGTTGAGGATTTTAAACAAGGGTCCAGGGATCTTAAAGTTGTTTATGGGTGCTAAAGGTACACTATGTAACTTTTGGGGTTCTAGTGGTTAATAAACAAAATTGCATGTAGTCGGAGCTACTTCTCTGTTTATGTATATGACTAGTCACGCAAGAATATTAACATATTATAGTCATACCATAGTAAAGAAAAAAAAAACACGTTTTTGGAAGATGGATTCATGATGTACTTGCTCATTATATCAATTTGTTGATTTTAAACAAAGAAAAAAGTTACATAGTGTATCTTTAAGTTTTATATATATATATATATATATACATTTTAGTTTATTGCAATAATTAAACTAAAACTAAAACTATATATATATATATATATATATATATATATATACATTTTAGTTTATTGCAA